TCTCTACCCCCCTCCAAGGCTCAGTTCCCCTGCGTGAAAGGGGGAAGAGCAGCCGAGCCACCCCCCCCTTAAAGGCTGTCGTGAGGATTAAAGGAGTAACGTCCTGGGGCCCTTGGTACAGTGCACGCCACACGGGGAGCTCTGAGTAAATGGCGGTTGATGCTAATGATGCTAATAACTATGAGTGTTATTCTCTGCGATGGTGGTAGTAGGTGGCTTTCTGGTCTTGCCACTTCGGACTCTTCTGAGAGAAACACAGCCGGGTCAAGCATCGGTCCTTGGGTAGGAGGTAAACCTCACATTTCTCCCAAAGTTTCCCTCCCATTCCATCCATGTATGCCCCACGCCCGGCACACAGAGGGTGTTCGAGAAGTTCATTTCTTACTCCCTGACGGCATCTAATCCCTTCCTCGCGGTCAAGACCCGGAACACTCAAAGATCAAGGTGGAGCTAAATTCTCCATCAACCTCCCCGCTTGGAGCCGTCTCTGGGGCTGGTGCCCTGAGCCATCTCCCTCAGGCCAGTCCCCACGCAGGTGCCTGGGTAGCGAGTCCCAAGTCCCCTCTCCTGTGCCCACGATGGGGCTTGGGCGATACCCAAGGATTTGTGCCCTGAAGGGTGCCACCAGTTCTGCCCCCGGAGCAGGCCAGAAGAAGCCTGTCTGGGGAGAGGGGTGCAGTGGGGAGGGGAAAGGGTGCTGAGGTCTCTCCCCACCCAGAGAAGCACCCAGAATCCACAAGGTCAGCAGGGGTGCAGGCCAGGTGCGTGGGAGAAGGGGAGCTGGCACGGCCTTTTCCTCTAGGCCTGCCTGAAAGCCAAGCCCCACATCCCGACACCTTCCCTTCCCCTCAAAGACGGTGGGGCTTCACCTGCAGGACGCGGCCAGAGCGTGGCTCAATCACGCGAAGCTTCTTGTCCTTGCACGTGGTGGTGAGCAGGCTGCCGTCGGTGTTGAAGGACATGCAGAGGATCACATCTGAGTGACAGTCTATCATCTTCACCGGCTCACCCACGTCCAGGTTCCAGATGAGGACCTGCCAGGGGGTGGGCATGCCAGAGGCAGGGTCAGCCCTGCGGCTGCGCCGTGAGGCGTCTGTCCCGGTCTGCACCCGGTGGCCCCGGGAGAGACGCCCCGTGCCGGGTCGGGGTGCGCTGGGAGGCGGGAGGGTGGCGTTAAACTCTATGTCAGAGGCTGATGCTCCCTGCTGCGCAAATCCACTACTGTCCCTCGGCAGATCCCAGCCCCAGCCGGGATCGGTTTCTGCTACCAGCAAGAAGGATTCATGTTCCTGGCCAGGGCCCCGTGCTGTTCTCTTCCCTCCACCAACTTTGCTCCTTTTTCCCACCAGGAGGGCAGCGGCCACTTCTAGATTTAAGAAGGGGCCCGGCAGAGGGTATGGGCACGGAGTGGGCATTCTCTTCCAACCCGTAGGAGCCAGAGAAGCCAGACAGGCAGCCTCCGTGGACCCCGGGAAAGACAGGGCGCACAGAAGATGCCCGGCGGTG